CCCCCCCCCGCACGCTCACTGCTCCGGCTGCTGCCATCACCGTCTTCGCCCTACCCCTGTCCAAGGATGGGCCCTGCTTGGGCCTCCGCAGCCGGGCCCGCTAGAGGCACCAGCCAGGGCCCGCCCCTGCCTTGGGCACCGGCGGGCCGGCCATGTCAGGAAATTGCCCCGGGAGGCACGAAAACACCGGGCCATGTCGGCGCGCGCGGGTCACCCACCGCAGGCGGTGGTCGGCAGATTCCCTCGGCCTCGGGCCCTTGCTTGCGTCTGCTCCTCCCGGCTGCCTGCCTGCCTGCCTGCGCATGCTGCTGTCGGGTGCAGGGCACACGGCCGGCTGCTCAGATCCGGACACCACCCAGGCCGGCGTACACATGGGAAGGCCATCGCGGTGGCCAGCGACCTGCCAGGGGTTGACCCATCTGCCAGCACCTTCTTTATGCGCGGCGGCGGCGGATCGCAGGACCCACACCGTGCGGGAGAATGCGTGCGTGTGTGGGTGCGTGCGTGAGGGCGCACGGCGGTCGCGTGCATGTACAGCCGCGGCGCGTGCGCACACACGCGCGCACGCGTGGACGCTTTGCCACCGGCAGGCGCCAGAGAGAGAGAAATGGCATGGCGGCCGCCGAACCAACAGAGCACTCCAGGAGGGCGCGGGGGGGGGGGGGGGGAGGGAGAAAAAAGGGGGAGTGGACCCCCCCAAGACAAGGCCAAAACGCGCGCCGGGCGGGCCCCCCCCCCCCCCCCCCCCCCCCTTGGCCCGCGGCCTCTCTCGCCCCGTGTCCCCTCCACGTCGGAGCAATGGCTACCGGGAAAGAGGCCGGCGCCGGCGCGATCTACCAGGCCGGCGTCCTGCGGGTGATGTAAGCATTGCACCGGGTGCCGCACATGTGCGGGCAATACGCTGGCCAAGCAGACCGGCCGGGGCCGACCGGCCCGTGGTAGCCCCGTCTCCCCCCGCCCCCCGCAGCCGCGTGTATGATGTGCTCCGGGCAGAGGGAGCAGGACCCCGGGGGCCGGGGATGGGCGTCTCTCTGGCCAGGCGCCCCCCCCCCCCCCCCCCCCCCCCCCCGGGGCCCCCCCCCCCCCCCCCCGGCGCACGGGGGCCGCCCTCCCCCACCCGCCCCCGACCCAGTGTTGAGGGTGTGTGTCTCTCCGGCT